GCGGGCACACGCACACACACACCACGACTCATTGCTTTTGGTTGACCTGTTAGTCATTGTCCTTCTTGGATCTGTTTTAACGGTTCCTTCCAATGTCTCACCTTTTTCTCAGAGCTATTTCAGCCCACTTCAATTGTACCGACTCTGGAAGGCGCCTAACAATACCTTTTATTGTAGTCGGGCAGTTGAGGATTGACTCGTAACCCATTTCTGCTAGGGAAATCTCTCTGGTGACAACCTGCCGTACAAGCTTTCGTAGACCATTGGCTTCACTTGCTCTGAGTTTACTCCCACTGCACAATTCATCCAGGAGACCCTCAGCGACATCATCCGGGCATCCGAACTGGGTTTCCAAAATGTGCATCGCCCGCGAGTATCCTTCTGACGCGGACAACAACACACAATCCTCAATAGCTTCCCTGGCTTCGCCGACACAAAAATGAATCAAATGACATAGTCGCTGTCTATCGTTGAGCGAGTGGCTAGCTACGTCTGCCTTGAAGCTACTAAGCAACCTCCATAAACGTTTCGGGGTTCCATCAAACTTAGCAATCTCGACATCCGGTAGCCTGAATTGGCGATGTGTTATTACCTTTGGGAAAAAGTTCCGATTCCCCTCGACTGGAGCGGTTGCTTGACATCCTTCCAGGTACGTTTTGACGGGGTCCAAATGGTTTTTCCGCGTGACCTCGGCTTGGACATGTGCTTCGGCTTCTTCATCACTAGTTTGCTGGCTGCCTAATGCTATTCGTCTTTCTAGGGACAGTTGCCGCTGCCTTAATTTCAGCCTCTGCATCTCCAGCTCTATTTCCTCGGCTTCTATCTGTTGCAGCCTACTAATGCTACTGACCGACGACCGATTATTTGAATTCTCACTACCTGCCTTATCTGCATTATTAGCCATGCCAAACAATGGGGAACGGGAAGAAAACTGCTTACCCACATTATTTTCTGCGATAGACAGGATTGGGAAAGGAGGATCGGGGTTCATATCCACCGAATGTTATATATCCAGCGGTCCAGAGTCGGTGAGCTTTTTCTGTTCTGACTATGTCATTTGATTCATTTTTGTGTCGGCGAAGCCAGGGAAGCTATTGAGGATTGTGTGTTGTTGTCCGCGTCAGAAGGATACTCGCGGGCGATGCACATTTTGGAAACCCAGTTCGGATGCCCGGATGATGTCGCTGAGGGTCTCCTGGATGAATTGTGCAGTGGGAGTAAACTCAGAGCAAGTGAAGCCAATGGTCTACGAAAGCTTGTACGGCAGGTTGTCACCAGAGAGATTTCCCTAGCAGAAATGGGTTACGAGTCAATCCTCAACTGCCCGACTACAATAAAAGGTATTGTTAGGCGCCTTCCAGAGTCGGTACAATTGAAGTGGGCTGAAATAGCTCTGAGAAAAATGCGAGACGGATTGAGACCTCTATTCAGACACTTGGAGGAAGGTCTTTCGACCTTCGCTGATTGTTGCGGTCAAGGAGTGACTTCTACGATCACATCTCCGTAGAAGCGGGAGGAAGATATGCAGCGCGTGCACGGACCGAGGAGAAGAATAAGCGCGATAGCTAGTCGCTTCGTTGAGAGTTGTGCTGTCTGTCATGTCGAACACGGCCTGGAATTATGCAATAAGTTTCTATGTGTTAGGAAGAAAAGTTGGATGTGGTTAGAACAGCATGAGTATGCTTTAGATGTTTGACACCGGGTCACAGAGCTAGCTTTTTGCGATACAAAGAGTCGCTGCAACGAGCCTGATTACAATGGTCGTCATCACGTTTTACTTCATGTGTCCAGATCTCACAATACTTCGGTGAAAACCAATATGAATTTAGTGAAGTTAGACGTCCCGCATACCTTTATGGGATTCTTGCCCGTCTAGTTGATCGGACCAAAAGGGTCGAAAGAAACATACGCCTTTCTCGAGAATGGCTCAGATTCCACCCTCTGGTCCTGTGCGGCCACCGAGGTTTTGGGNCGAGAATCCGAGCGACCTCGCTAGCTGGAACCACTTGTAAAATAACCTCGGAGGTTAACTTTGCGGTTCAGTCATTAGATGGCTATCATCAGCTGCAAGTGGAGAAGACCTACACGCTCGAGTCATTGCCGATTCAAGCAGCTTACGACCCGCCCGAAAGTATGAAGTGCTGGGCTCATTTAAAGGGTGTACATTTCCAGAAAACTTAAAATAAAACTGTTGATCTGCTGGTTGGCACGAACACTCCGGAAGCGCATTGGGTGTTAGATCAACGTATCGGAAATTCCCGACAACCGTACGCATTGAAAACAGTTCTAGGATGGGTACTGCTCGGGTCTACGAGAGGGGATCGGTCTTCAGCAAGATCTGTCAACAGTCTAGCTACGGAGGAAACGATGCATGCGAAAATTGCCAAACTCTTTGAAATCGAATTCGGTGAGAATAACTAAGGAGTTGATTTGGCAAACTCCCAGGAGGACCTGTTGGCCCTTGAAGCCGTTCGAAGTTCCGCAACTGTCGTGGAGAATCGTTATCAACTTCGTCTACCTTGGAAGAGAAACTGGCGCGAGANCGAGATACCCTTTAATCGATACCTGGCAGAGAAAAGATTAAATCACCTGCGAGTACGCCTCGAAAGAGATCCGAATCTGTTGTGTAAATACGCCGAAATAATGGAAACGTACGAGAAAAAGAGCTACTTTAGCAGGGTACTGGAGCATCAGTCAAACGAGGTACGTTTCGTCCCACACCACCCGGTTCTGAGTTCTCAAAAGCCGGATAAGGGATAGAATTGTTTTCGACTTTGTGGAGAACTTAATCTGGGAGAAGTGCAAGTCAGAATTGGCAACAATTGAAACTCTATCAGTTCCAAGGTGTTCCAAGTGTGGCAATACAGCTTCAGTTCTGCATCTGACGCCTCCGAGTCGGGATACGGGGCGGTTGCATATCTTCAGTATGTTTCTGGAGGGTATTCTGCTCACTGCTTCTTCGTTATGGGAAAGTCTAGAGTTGCACCCTTGAAGCCAGTTACGATACCGCGCTTAGAGCTACAAGCTGCCATGCTCTTCGTTAAGATCTTGCAGTACATTAAGAAGGAAGCGGATCTACGATTCGACAACACATATCTTTGGGCAGATTCAATGATCGCATTGCATTACATCCGGAATACCCAATCTCGATCTAAGACCTTTATTGCTAACCGCGTAGGGTTCATGAAAACACGAAGGTGG